GAGAAAAACCCACTTCTCTCCCCAAAAAAGATTTTTTACTTGTTTCACATCTATAAATCTTCTCCATGTTTTATCAAATCCTACCATTCAGAAATTTGGCAGTCTTTAACAATTTAAAAGGGAAAAACACTGCCATCTCCTGGAGCAGGTGGAGTTGACAGTTCCGTGAATACCTGCATTCTGCTCTCCATCTTGCACTGTTTTCTATGCACTGAAAAGTAACTTCAGATGTTGCAGTTAAGAATGAAAGCAAAAGTCTACAGTAGCATATCATCTGCAAGATTAATCTTGGCGGCCTAAATTCGGTAGCAAGATAAAATCAGGTTTACTCATCCAACTCATCAAGTTCTACATGACTGGAAAACTTCATCAGCCTCCTTCAACATACAGAAATCTGTAAAAAGTAGCAGTTTGAACAAAACCCACCAATGACAGCTTATTATCATTAAGAGCACAACATGTGGGGTTACAGGTGACTCTTGGCTTACAGTTTCAAATCCTTCTGCCATGATCTTGCTTTTACTTTTGAAGGTCCCTATTCCAATCACCTATTTTCATACAACATCCTTCAAAAAGCAGCCTTTGAGAATGTACCGGATTGTTTATTAGTGTAGCCTAGTCAAGCAAAACACCTTTGCTCTACACTGAATAACTTGTAACAGTCCATAGGAAGGTACACTGTAGCTACAAAATCTGTACCTATAAAATTATCAGGTAACTACTCCATCCCCTACCATTTACTAGTTACAGCAGTATCCCCGATACCTTATCCAAAGTGCTTTACAATAGGGGGAATAAATAGCCCGTTATCAGTAACGAGACACACCCAACAGTAACAATTGTTCCTGTAGGCAGCCTGTAAGCAGTGTTATATAAAGGCTCTTCCATTCCCCAGTCGAACTGCCTGCTCTGGTGCCCATGAAGCTACCTTAGGGCTCCAGTGCGAATGTCATTCCTGTCAATTGCTACCAGGCATGAGGATGCAGCTCAGTTTGTTTATTTATTTCTTTTTTTAAACTGGATTATATCTGAACTGGGACATAATGTAGCTACAAATGTTTTAAAATTAGTTTTCTAATATTGACTGTGTAAAACACAACATTTACACCTTTTCCCACTTATCCATGTTGGGAGTTTTAAGTCTTTTTGAATGCTGCAGTTCTACAATATAATTTCTCTGAAAAAAGCACAACTACCAAACCAAAACTTCCAGAAAAGCATCAGCACAGCACAAGGGCTGAATCAGGATGAAAGCAAACTGGCAGGATATTGGCATGTACAGGATGGAAGAGACAGCAGATAAGCTTACACAACCACTTGGATACTACAGTTAAGAGTATACTTGACAAGTGCTGTTATTTCCTCCTGGTCATGTGAGCAATACAAGTAATTTATCATGCCTCATGTTCAATCTTATCTAAGAATTTCAGTTAATTTCATGCTTTTACCTTCTTCTACTGTTGAGGTATTTTGCTTAGCCTCCTGAGTCATCTCATTCCAGTCAGGAATAACTGACCCACAAGGATTAAGTTTCACCAGATTGTTTTAAAAGTACTCTGGAAAGAAGACAGAAAGTGTATTTCTTTAAACTTTTAGCTTAATTCTGCAGTATTCATCTTCCTTCTATTCTGCAATTACAGTTGAGGTTCACAGGAATAGCTTCAGAGGTTCTCAGCTACCAGTGCTAAAACTTCACTTTTAGATAAACTCAAGTAAAAATTCTGGAATTTTCTTGCCATCATACTTTAGGTTCACTTTGCACAGTAGAAGTTCTGACGTGATGGATCTTTACAGAATAGTGATTTAGGCATCTTAAAAAAAAATTCTCAAAAATATATAATCTTCAACATCCAATTTATTTTCTAAAATAAAAAAATCCATGCATAATTCTAATATACAGCATTTGATTCTTACCAAAGACATGTTTATAAATATTTTCTCCCTTTTAATAAAGATCTCTATCTACAGTCCAGATCCCTAATGCCAATCCACCCAACTGTGTTCCAGGCAAACAGATTCCACTGAAGAAAATGTAGATCCATATTGTTTCAGGTACTGGAAAACAAGTGTACTTCAGAACTAAATAATGATCTCTTCAGGCACTTGCCATTTGGCTAACCCAAGCTTAAGAGTTTCATTATTCATAAAAGGCAACAAAACTGCAGTCTTTACAGCCTTCTTAGCTAATTTCCACATGAATAAAGGTGCAAATCTAGACATTTACATCAGCAATCTTGCTAAGAGAAAATACCATATTTCTTCTCCAATTCTTCAACAGAAGCATCTTTTAATCCCATGTGGTTCACATGATTGAATAATACCTGTGTAACTGAAAAAAAAAAAAATCCCAACATGAATTCTTATTTTTGTAATTCACACTCTTACAGTAAGTTAGTCTAATTCTTTCCTTGGTGACAGTGAGGGGCATATGGATTATACAGTTGAAATACTAATACATTTTTGAACTACTGGGAGGATGAACACAAGTAGCAAATCAAAACCCTCACTTTGTTTTGATGCCCAGGAGCAGTCTAACAACACTTCCTTAAACAGGTTTATAATCCAGGCAACAGAGAGCTTTTAGTTTCTTTAGAATCTTAACACTATGCCACTACATGCAGAAAACAAACTATGCCAATGGCAGATAAAGCTTACATCAGGTAAAGGCATGAATGCCATTTGTAAGAGGCATTGCACTTCAGGAAGTCAAGTTACTTTATTTTAAGGATAAACATTTCAAAATGTTTTAAGTATAATGGCAATTAGTGAAACTCAGCTGTAGATAGTGAATTTAAATTTACATGATCACAGAGAAATTATTTTCTTTTAAGAGTCTCACTATTACATTGTCTGGTGTGCTAAATAAAGAAAAAGTCTGAGACAAAACCCACTTTTATAAACCATGAATTCAAGTCAATGTCAACACAAATTGCAAGCTAACATGACTGATGCCTCCAGAACAGGACAGACAACTAGGCTGAGTGCTTAAGAGATTCTGTTTTCATTCTTTTGCCAACAGAAAAGTCAGGATTTGTGAAGAAATAGCTGTAAATTGTGGAAACTATAATCTGGATACCCTGGATGTCAGATGTAGGACATCGCACAAATTCATACATTTGTAACATTACCAACTACAAACTGACAAGCTGGCAAAGCTTATTTTATCACAATAAAATGCAGTAGTATCACTGATTAAAATAAGAGGATTTAGCTGTAGTTTTCTAGTCTGAACAATGAATAAGGAATCAAAAGATTAAGAAAAATTACATGACATTCATATTAATTTCTAAAACAATAAAAAGCTAGACAACTATAATGATTATTACAGAAACAGGAATAATGCAAAGTTTTACATATTTTTTGCCAGATTCTGCAACATCACAAAGTAAGCTTACAAAGACACTACCAAATTACTTACTTTTTTTCTCTGAACCTGACATAAACATTACTGCCATATCAAATCTTTTTAATTCAGAGAGCCTCTGAAGGATTTCAAGGATGAGTGATGGCTCCTCTTTCCTGAAAAAGATTATTACAAATATAAAAATAGCCACTGTTGACTTGGAATATTAAGCAGCTGCAAACAATATTGAAGTATTCAGGAACAAAAATTAAAGGACCAATAAAATTCCCCTCACTTTCATACTCCCTATCTTTGTCTTTCCATTTGTCCATTCACAAAGCAAAAGGTCAATATCCAGAAATCTTTACGTAGGTATTATTGTTCTACTGAGCAAGAGTGAAAAACTACAAAACCCTAGAGTGATGCAAATTGGCTGCTGGTCATGTATAGAATACCTACTGTGTGATTTAAAGCTTACACCTGGCCATAACATCACTATTTTTATATGTATCAGGTAGTCTGAAAGTAAGCAGCACCTGTGGCCATAAGGCTCATTGAAAGGGTGAGCCAATTACAGCTGCCTTGAATTTCATCCATACAGAAAATTCCTAGATTGTGTTCATTTTACATTTTTCTGGTCAACAGTAAACAGGCACTGCCTTTATTACAAATACTAGCAAATTGTTATTTTTCTTTCATAATTTCACATTTCTTTTGGAGGGAGACAGGACTTTTAACTTACAGCAAACAATTTCAGCTTCCTAGCCTTTTTATGTTATGTCACCAAATGCAGGACTCTAAGACAGTATTTTTCACCCATTTGATGGGTATTTTACCTTTTAAGGAAACCAAGGGAAAGGCAAACATTGATTTATGCTTGCTTATCTCCATAAAACACCGAACAACACTGAGTGTGTGCTTCTCAGACAGTGTAATTCAGAAAAGCAGTACAGTGCCTCTGATAAACAAAATTAACTTCAGGACTCAAATAGTAGCATGAATAGAAATTTCAAAAATAACTTGTCAGGTCCTGTTTTATCAGAACCTCAGTCTCCAATACACATTTGCTACAGGCAACTGCAAAATGCTAGCAGATAATTAAGTCTGAATGCATCACAGAAAGTGTGGCATAAAACCAAATCCTTATGAATTTCTCAGCTTTAGAAAGTTAAAATAGAAGACAATGTGCAATTCTATGTACTCTCAGAATACACACACAATAGTATGGAACAAAAGTTATTTCATACAAATTAATTCAAGTTTCTGGTGCTCTGTAGCAAAGCACAATTCAACAACAGTTAGTAGAAGTACTTTTTCACTTTTTTCTACCTGTTTTTTTCATTATGAGTTTCACTTCTTAAGAAGCAACTATTGACTAATTCCAATTATTTCCTTATGCTCATGTAATGCTGTGTGCTGGAAACAATTCTGTAAGTCTGAGACTGGGACTAGAGAGAACAGAAAAAAACCCCAAACACAAAACAAAAAAACAACCTCCCCCCACCACAAAAACCTAAACCTTCCAAAACACCAATAAGCAATTTAAAACAAAGGAGGAGTTAAACTTACTCAATGTAGAAGTCATGTAAGATTTTCAGGATCTGGTTAAACAAGTCTGGATCTAAGGACTTCTGAAACAGCTTTGCATAAAGTGAGGGCTCTATTTGCTGTAGAAAAATTTTAAAAGTTAATTTTACACAAAAAGAAAAAACCCACAACTGAGTCATGAGAATTCCATGTGCATTTTTGGAAGGTCATGAACAATGCTGAAGTGCATGAAAGCAAAAAAATCAAATCACACTATTTAACATCCAACAACCATTTTCACTTGTTTGCTTGGGTTTTTTTACTAATGGTAATTTCTAACTTGTCTTAAAAATTTTTAAGTGACTTTTTTTTCAAAATATATGTGAGTAAAAGCACATATTAAGTAGATTGCTGTGTTTCAAGTATTTGCTCAGTTTAAAAATGTCACTATGTCTAATTACCCTAGAAGCACTCATTTGAAAAATTAGAATTTAATAGAGTTACAAATGTAAAGTCTTTAAAGAAGACTCTATATTTGAAAAAAAAAAGCAGAGACTGTACTTAAAGCAAATAAAAAGGTGAAAAAGTATGTGAAGACAATTAAGTAAAGGCATTCTTGTACACGTAAGACACTCCAAACATACATGTGTATTCCTTCTACCTAAGGGTACTGTTTCCTTAACTGATGTTGAAGAAACTGTCCAAACACTGTTGATACTCTATGTTTCCTACCTTCAGATATAAGTACATGTTTTCAGGGCAGTCTTTCAACTTTCTGAAGTCAGATTCAAGCTGGAAAGAATTTGTAGGAATGGGAGGAACTGAAGAAGCAGACATAAATGACCTTCTGATTTCTTTTTCTCTCTGTTTGCTTGCAGGAAAAGATGGATGCAATGTTGATGAAATTCCTTTGACATTTACAGGTAGCCTACAAAGGTATATGGAACACATAATCAAATCAACTTTTAAGGAAATTCTACAGTGAGACCTAATTGGAGATCTCTCTAGTCATTAAAAGCTAAAATACTGAAAACTTTTTAGAAAAGAATGTTTTTTAGTTTAAGCAGATATTTCTAAATTCCATCAAATTATACAGGCTTTATATTTGATTCATCTTTTCTTAAAAAAAAAACACATCTGCAAATACTCAGCCTCTCGCTACTTTGCTTCTGGAAATAACTGCATTTTATAGCAGGTTTCTCTCATATATACGTGACAAAAACAAAAACAAAATCTTATTTTCTGGAATTTCATAATGCAAAGCAGAACAATGTCAAATGGATAAACTAGTTTCAACACTGATAGCAGCAGATCTATTTTTTGTCCTATAATTTGCCATTTAAGTCCATTGACTTTTTAGAATTTAAGAAATAGCCAAGAATATACTTTTTTCATCAACACTTCACAGTAAATCCATCTAACTGAGCTAGAAAAGGTGTGTGAGGCCAATGTTTCTCACAGTTCTTTGATAAAAATTCTTTATATCAACAGAAAAAAGCAGTGCCGATGCAGCAGACGAGTTCTAAGACTGAGCAAGGATAAAGCTTCTGTACTTCAGCCTAGTTTCAGCAAGACAGACTTCAGTTTTTCCTAAGACACATCTTAGAAACTGAGCACATCTGAAGCTACCACCTGCCTCAGCAGAGGAAAGGGTGGTGACATTATCTGCTCCTCTTCTCTCACAACTGGGGTACAAAGAATGCTTGAACTCTGTTCAAAATATCTTCTAAAAAAACCAAATAAGAGTTATAAAAACAGCTAGGGAAGACGGAGTGCCCAAGCAAGAAAGAGTACAGCATGCAGGAAAATATTAATTCCTTTATATTTGCAATGTAATTCTGAGTTTTTCACCTTCTTCCCTCTCTCAGGGTTCCTGAAGTCAGGGTGACCCCAAGAGAGAGATCCTAAAAGAGTCTTTTCTTCCCTAGCCCGAACACAGTTAAATGAGGAGTCTTGGAATGTTTCCAGTTGTACTTTCAAGGTTGTTTATTTCGTCTTATCTATAATATTTTCTCTCTGACCTGCCAAGCTCTGGCTAGCAAGGAGGCTCTCTTGGGCAGTGTTTACCTTTTATATCAAAAGTTACATGTACTATGTTTACAACTTATTACCAATACCTAACATTTATGTTGGACAGTGTTACCCTAGCTTAAACCAACAGAAAAGTGTCACTATCACAACAAGACGAGGAGGACAAGAAGAAGGAGAAAAAGGCTAGGACACGCCCAGATTCATCCGTCTTGTACCCCTGAGTTACATTCTAAAAAAACTCCAAAATACTATTTTTCCACCCTGTGTTAGTTCACATGTCACACGACTAAAACCCTTGTATGACTTGTAATTCCTCACCCAGAGCTGACAGCCCTCCACAGGCTACAATTGAAGCCACAGATATTTTTGACCTCCTGCCAGGGTCTTGGAGACCCCCGCCAGGGGCTTGAGTCATCCAGGGCAGCCAGAGGGATGTCCTGGACTCTGACACTACCTGACACTAAATAGGCCATATTTGTCTCAACCACTGAGTGGTCAAAAAGGCAGATGTGCAAGAACTGCAGTTTCTTTCAAAATTTCTTTTTAAATTCAGATTCTCCAAAGCATCTTAAATACCTCACCACATGCAGACATCTGGAGATTATATTTCAACTACATTTACCTTTTAAAAAGAGGATCAGAATTATTATACTTACTGTAATAGTGACGTATCACTGATTTCTTCTATTTTCAAGTGCTTTGCTTTTGGAGTATCAACTGTAGTCAACCGATCATCCTGATCTAGAGCTTCTGTTGCGTTTACACTCACTGAATTCCTCCAGTTACTGACTAAAGTAGTACTGGGCAAGTCACCATCTGATGTATCATCATCAACTTCTTCAATATCTATTCTTTTCAATGGCTTCTAAACAGAGCAAAGACCTCATGTCACATGTGGACTCAACCTAAGTGTTTAAATAGACTCCAGACACAGCTGTGTGTAACTTAAAATAATCGTATGGTAACAAGTTACCTCTGCAGTGGTGCACAGAGAAGACACTTTGCATAAAGGTAAATGGCAAAACCAGGAAACCATAAAAATTTACATGAAACCTGATATGATAATTTTATTGCTTTACCCTCATAAACCAATATATCCTTACCCTAGAGAATCTCTGTATGCAGTCTGTTTTCCAAGTAATAATTAAAAATGTATGCTTTTTTCACACTAAGGTTGAATAGGCATGATCCATCATATACTTTGTCCCATAATGTGGTAAAGCTTTTTAATTTAGCAAAGCAAAAAAATATCCAACAGCACAGGCCTTGGCCCACAAGTTAAAATTTTGATGTAATAAATACCTGTAACTCAGCCCTGCTGACTGACCATATTACATACATGCCAAGGTAATTAATTCCACCACATGCTAAAATGCTTCATCTTATTTAATCTCTGCATGATCCCCATTATTTTTGACCACCACCTACTACCACCATCATAGGTCTTAGAAAAAAAGCTCTCATCGCTTCTTACTTTAGAACTTAATTTGCTGAACATGAACATAGTATGTATGGCTCTAGAAATACTGATGCAAATGCACATGCTTAAACAGACTCAACAATTTAGACTTCTAGGAAATGGCAGTACTAAAAGCACAGATGTTTCATCTATACTTATTCTACCTCAACAAAATAACAAGATGAATACAACCAACCTAGCATCTTCACTTATATTTATTAAGTGTTCACTTTCGGTGCTAAATTAACTGTCCATAGTATTTCAGCTGCTTTACAATAAATTCATTTAGGTTTAAAGAAATAATGTTTCTAGTTATAGAGAGAACATAATACTCCTCTCTCCCAAAGGATCAAAATAATTAGATATTTTCTATTAGAATTATCCATCTGAATTACATTACTTATGAGGGTAAACAAAGGTTTTCATATAGTGTGAGTGCATACACATATGAAGTATGAGCACTCTTTGTATTTACACATCTCATTTCTGAATATAAAAAGATTAAATGTACTCAAAGAGGAAGCCTAATACATAAAGAAACCTGCTATTACATTTTTTCATCTATAACTTATTCATCTGACTATGACCACTGATAATTCATAGTTGAAACACATTGCTTATTGAAAACCAATATCCAACTGTCCTGCAGCTTACATGGATGAAAATGCATGCTCAAAACTCTTTGGAAAGCAGCCCTATGTGAAAACAGCATAGGGCACAAGTAGGCAACTTGTCTTATAACCACTATGGCTGCTGTAAAAAGCAGTAGAAATGAAGGCAAGTTTACCCAGAGGTTCTCAATTCTCTCTCATTTACTCTCAACTGCAATGTTACCTATGGGCACAAAACAGGGTATTGGGGCTGCCTGCCTATTCCACATTATAAATGTATGCATACAACATGTTTGCTGAGGGTAATACTGCAGGCTGAAAGCTTACCCCACCACTGCTGTGAACATTAGCATTTCCATGCGTGTCTATGTTCTTGAAAAATATCAAGAGCAAATGTACGTATTTTTGGCTTTCCACAGGCAAGGCTATCTATCAGGGGTAGGTCTAAAATATAGAAAGCACATTTTAACTCCAAACTCTACTTTTCCCACCATTATAGAAAGCAATTAATGTAACAACTTACTGTTGATTTAATCTGTAATGGGTTATCAATCATTTTCACAATATTTTTGATTTCTGCTTCTTTTATCAATACTGCAGGATATTCCTTGTGAGTCTGCTGCTCTTTCTCAGCTAATTCCTGAAAAAAATGCCAAGTTGTCCAAAAGATCAGGTGTTTTATAAATAAATATAAGGTATGTTAAAAATAATTTAATAAAGAATAAAAACCTTCTAATACTACAGCCTTACAAAAAACTCCGTAACAAACAAAACCCTACTATACCCAAATAAGCATACATACATTCCTTATTTTCGTGAGTTCATTTATTGCTTGTTTATTTCCAGGTTCCAGCTTCAGAACAGCTTCAAAATCTGAGTGAAAAACAACACAGAAACTGTAGATATTTCAAGTTACAATGTACATGTGGCAGATTTTTAACCTATTTTCCTTTCATAGCTCTAAAAATAATTAAAGGCAGGTAAGTGACAGAATGGCCAAGGCTGGAAGAGACCACCAATGGGTCATCTGGTCCAACCTCCCTACTCAAGCAGGGTCATCCTGGAGTGTAATGCACAGGATAGCAACCAGACAGTTCTTGAATATCTCCACTGACAAGACTCCACAACCTCTCTGGGAAGTCTGTTTCAGTGCTTGATCACCTGAACAGTAAAGAAGTTCTTCCTCATATTCAGGTAGAACTCCCTGTGCATCAGTTTTCACCTGCTGCCTCTTGTCCTATTGCTTGGAAGCACCAAGCAGTGCCCAGCTCCCCCCTTTTGACACCTCCCCTTCAGATACTGATAGACATTGGTGAGGTCACCCCTCAGTCATCTCTCCTCAAGACTGAACAGGCACAGCTCCCTCAGCCTTTCCTCATAGGAGAGATGTTCCATTCCCCTGATCATCTCTCTCACCCCCTGTGGGACCCACTCCAGGAGCTCCACGTCTCTCTTGCACTGAGGAGACCAGAACTGGACACAGCACTCCAGATGTGCCTCAGCAGGGCAGAGTGGAGGGGCGGGATCACCTCCCTGGACCTGCTGGCAGTGCTCTTCCCAATGCAGCCCAGGATTCCATTGGCCTTCCTGGCCACAAGGGAACTACTGGCTCATGGACAGCTTGTTGTCCACCAGGTCCTTCTCCCAGCAGGTCAGCCTGAGACAGTGTTGGTACAGGGGTTGTTCTTCCCCAGGTGCAGGGCCCTGCATTTGCCTTTTGGATTTCTGAAGGTACCTCTCTGCCCATCTCTCTAATCTATCAAGGTCCTTCTGGAAGACTCACAGCACTCTGGGGTATTGGCTGCTCCTCCAAGCTTTGTATCATCACTTAACTTGCTGAGGAGGTATCTGCCCCTTCATCAAGTCACTGATGAACAAGTTAAACCACAAAGGGCTCAGTATTGAACTTTGAGGCACACCACTAGTGACAGGCCTCTAACTAGACCCTGTGTCACTGATTAAGACCCTCTGGGACCTGTTATTCAGCCAGTTCTCAAATGTATCTCACTGTCCTCTTATAAGTCATCCTAATGCCTATATCATGACCTACTTTTAAATGAGCTTTCCAAACTATTTCTTACCACTTATAAACAGCAACAGCTGTTCACAAAAAACTGTCTTTCCATTATGCAGGCACCAACACAAGCATTTTTATACATATTCAGTGAAATCCAAGAGAAACTTCTTAATTCTTAACTTTTGCACTGATAATCTCAGTAAGTCAGAACAAAAAAAGATCAGGATGTCCTTATACTGATCTATTACCTACCACATTTAGTCTAATTCAAAATCATACCTTGAATAGCTTCCTTTAACTTCCCAAGAGCAACTCTGGCAGCTCCTCTTCTGGCAAAGGCTTTAGAATAGGAAGCATCTAAGAGCAGAGCTTGTGTGCAGTCATCTTCTGCCTCTTTGTACCTCAGCAAAAGCACAGCACAAAATTAATAATCAGCTTCAAGAGGCAGTTTCAATTGAAACAATAGAGCTACCCAAACCAATTATAATATAAAGGTAAATCTTCATTACCTACATACATAAACATATCACTGAGCTAAAAGGTGAATTTAAAAACTCCCATAAAATATGGTTTCTCAGCACCTTGAAATTTAAGCTGTTTTTGGTATCTCATAACAAAGTGCTAACTCTTTTTAGGATTACTAAAATTCAAATCCTCTGTAAAGAAAAAAAAAACAACACATTAAAGCTTGTCAGAGCAGAGACCACTTCAAAAATTCAACAACAGCCTTAAAATCAAAATTAGTACCATGGCTTTGTACTTCTGAAAATGAGAAATAGCACTGCAAACAAAGAAAAGGTACCAGAGAGGAGAAGAAACTAAGCATGAGAATAAATTTCTCTACGTGGAATTCTGTGACTTGTCCTTAACTATTTCAAAATAAGAACTCTGAATATCCTTGCATTAATGACATTTGTTTCATTTTAAGATTAAATTTCCTCATCCCATTTATATTGTTACATTAGATCACGATTCCACTATATGCTCAATAAAGTATTTTCATTCATTCCTCTTCTCCATGTTCAAACTAGCACTAAATTTATGCAAATTAATTTTTATTTGCTGTTCTCACCAACACTAGTAGTTTGTAAGAATACCAATGGGCTTTTGTTACATTTTATGTTTGGTCTTCTTTCAAATGTGAAGACCCATGATACAAGATTTATCATAGGGAATCAATTTTCTTGGTCATTCAATTAAAATATTGCTTCCTCTGAATTTCACAGAAGATTATTTGCATTCTGATGTCTTTTAAATTACAAGTGCTGTGTCAGAAATACTATCCATGCAACCCATCTTATCCTAATTTGAGATCAATCTACTGTCTCTAGAGATATTCAGCCATGTAACACTAAAACAGATTACCAACATAACCCTCTGCTCTTCATGCTACCAGTTTACAAGTTTTAAATTACCATACCATCACAGAGTCAAACAAAGTTCACACCTAAAAAATGTAACTTATCTAATTTGCTGGAAAGCATGAATTTCCATACAGTTTGAGTTATTTGGATAAAACTTAATTAAAAATAAACAAGCAACACACACATCCCTCTATCAGTGAAGTTAAAAAAACATTTTAAAATGTTAAAATTTCCAGAAAAAGCTTTTATTCATTCCCTCCAAAGTCAGAAGTCATAATCTGCTTCTTTTTACAGTGCAATGTTTAGAGCAGACTGGGTTTCATAGTCAAAGACAAAGTTTGAGCAGTTCCTTTCAGAAAGGTGAATTTCTAGATTTTGCACACATAAAAGAATGAAAATCCAACTTCAGAAATCATTATTTCACACTGGTGCTATTTTTTCTCACTTGCTTCCTACAAATTGCATTTTGAGATCATACATACCAATTTGTTCCCTCTCCTTTACTGCCTGCAATGTAATTTACTCAATACTGAATTCTAACAAAAATGAGGAGTGACAATAACTTGAGTGAAAATCTGCTGGATCATTATCCCTCCTGATTTACAACAAATAATACAGCAATTCCACTTACTTCTCAATCTTTAGGTAGGCCATGGCTCTGTTAGCTGGCAGTAGTGCATTGGTGCCATCTGCTGTGATACCACGGGTGTAACATTCTATTGCAGCCTCATACTTTCCTTCTTTGAAATAACCGTTACCCTGGAATATTTAGGTCCGAAAAGAAAAACACCACTGAGAAAATCCAATGCAATTAACTTTTTCTTACCCTTTTTTGCAGAGAGGGCGACAACATTAAAAGATAAATTGCAAAGAACACCCACATCAGTTACAGCATATTTTTTCCTATCTAAGTTGGGAGGCAGAATACAAAAACTATCTTAATACATTCTAATACTTCAAGGATAAAAAAGCTTTGCTGCATGCATAGCTCAAATGCAGACTTTTAAGTCTACAACTTGTTATTTAACTTTATGCTTGATGTGCAGGATAACCTACCCTGTACCTCATTAATTTAAACACAAGCTGAACATTTACAATTTCTCTTTCAAGATGATTTTATACACTTCACAAATTCATTTATCCTGCTCCATAAGAATTATCCACAAGTATTACTAGGGTCCAAATGTTTTTGTTGTTCTCCATACAAGAAAATTACATTATTTTTTTGCTTGTTTCTGGGGGACTAAAATTACCTTCTGCTTCTCAGTACTGCTTTGAAGCTCCACATCATCTCTGCTACTACTCTACTGACTGACAAAAAACCAGAAAGGCTACAGTTCAGACTTGACAAGGATCCATGTCACCAGGAACAATCCTGGAGTCAGTCAGCTCTGCTGCCAATGAACTATTGCATTAGACTGAAATTTCTCTTCTGAGACCTAGTCAAACTCTTGCTCCTTAATGCATACTTTCATTCTTATCTGACCAATTACTTTTTTACAGCCAGTATAGCAAACCTATAACAAGTCAGTAGTTACATAATAGCTAAGTAAGTGAGCAGAAAAATTATGGTTTACTTGGTAACTTTATTTATTTATTAAAAGAGTGGTGATAGGGAGAAATCAATAATCCAACTGTGAGTCAAGACTATGCATCCAGAAATACATTATTATTGTCATTGTTGCCTGCACCCCCAAAGTCCTTCTTATAACTCCTATTCATCATGTAATCAGAGGTTTGAAAACAAAAAGTAGTCCACAACTCCCCTTGGTCAAACAAGCATCAAGTTGCTTATAATAATGGAGAAATGGAATTTTTGTAAAGGGCAGTTAAAGTTCTACTTGTCTTACCAGGTATTTGAAATTTTGCATATACAATTCAGGGTGTAAAAGCTACCCTTTTATAATTATTCCTCCTAATAAATCCAAATAGAACTCACTGTCCCACTCACTTTCCTAAAGGCAAAATGGGAAACACTTAAGGTAACATCAGTGACATTCCATGTATGAAGTTCAAGGCAGTATCAGGCTTAATTTATACATCTGCATAACTAAAAGCAGCATAACTAACAGCACAACACGACTTTTTTCTTTGCTGGGTTTCTCCTGTTCCACCAGAACCTGTGACCTACCAGATCTTTTTCTGCAATTGCCTTCTGCTTGAGCTGCTGGTCTTCAATGCGCTTTTTCTCTTCATCTGTTAATCCTGTTCTGACTGCATCTTCAAACTCTTTCTGTTCTGAATTTTCTTTTAATGACAGAGCCTGTAAAAACATATTTTTTCCCTTCAGTATTTCCCCACTTAAATATTTTCAGAACATAAATTACAATAATTTCTAAACTTTTAAGATAACAAAATCTGCCAAGCTTTTTAACAGAAGTGCCTGTGTTGTAAATTAAATATAAATCGAAGAGACAATTTAGAAACAACTTGAAATTGTTTCTTGAAAATGTATTTCTTTGAGGGACTGCAAGTCAGAACAATGCTTGGGAAATGAAAAGTAGGTAGCTTCTGAAGTACACCGTGAAATGACTTATGGAACCTTTCTATACAGTCCAATTCATGTATCATTTATTTCTTCCATGACTGGAGACTTTGCATCTTCATTCTGAAAATAAGTATTTCAAGCACTATCAAAAACACAGTTGAAGAGATGTAAGTAAATTCATACAGAAGTGACAGGTGAGCCTATATTTATAGAGGTCATCATAATAAACATTCTCCCTGTCATGAAAAGGATCTAACTTGCACTAGGAGTATTTTGTTCTGTTCTTAGAACAACTTTCTGGTTTGGTTGACCACAGCAATCAGTGGGACTACAAGCAGGACAGCAATGCAGTTTTACGGCCAAGAGAACACCTAAGTTCTCTCCTGTGCTGTGCTTCCTTATACCAAAATATTAAGTATAACTGAAAAAAGCATTAACACAGGAGGTAGAAAATTGGAGAAAATTAAAAATAAATCAGCCAACCAACCCACCAAAACCCAACCAATGAAAACTAACCAACAACAAAAAGTCCAAAAGATACCAGATGGTGCACACATGCAGTCTTAGTCTGGGATCCAATATTACATGGATCCAATACGATACTTGCACATGTGTGAGTATTTCCAAAAGAAACTCCATTAAAGATTTTGACCTTGGTGAACTCCAGATGCCAGAAAAAGCATGTGAGAATTTATTGAATCAGTTCTTGCTATAAAAATTGACACAAATATAAAATGAACAGGGTGTATTAATTTATGTTAGGGTCTATTAATCTTTTTACCTGATCAATTTTCTTCAGTTCATTTTTTGCTTCAAAGTTGTTTGCATCCAACTCCAAAACTTTTTCATAATCTATCAGAAGAACAGAAAAGTATGTTTCAGGTAGGAAGCACAGACCAGTAAGCAGAGCATTCTTTTGAGATAAACCTTTTTTGTAATTACCCAAGAAGCCTGAGATATATCAAGGAATACATCATTCTAGAACAGTTAAAGCTGAATTATTGAAGAACTACTAACATCTACCACTATAATTTGGACTTCTACTTGAATTTTACCTTGCCAGAAGAATATGCAACATAGTACTTAAATTATCTGTTTAAAGGAAACAAAAATTAAATTCCTACATCAAAGAAGCAGATCACGTAAGTTTGTATGTATTTGAAGAAAAGAATTTAAGACACACCTTCTTTAGCACCTTGAAGATTTTTCAAAGCAAAGCGAGCAGCCCCTCTTCTCGCATAAGCCTTTATGTAATTTTTATCTAAAGCAAGTGCTAAATTGCAGTCAGATTCTGCAACAGAAAACCTATCAAAAAAGAAAAAAAAAAGTAGTTGGACACATCTAGGTTATGAACCCCAAAATTTCAGCAGTTCATCCTACCCTGAGCCTCACCAGGTTCTTGGTAACACAGGAATCTTGTATGCTTCAGAAGGGGCACAAAACAAGTACTTACACATTTCTTGATTCTGAATACATTAAAATAAGAAAGGAAAACAACAGTAAAGAATCTACAGCCACAGAAAGAATACCCGACTCCCCTCCCCTGTATCCTTTCTTCACCCAAAACAAATGAAAGCCTTAGAAACAGAGCTCACTGAATGTGAAACGCAATTTAGCTTTCTCTTCCTCTTTTTTCTTCAAGTCTTACACAGCTAACACAGAAGATAGTGAACTGTTAGTGTACAAGCCAAGGAAGAACTGATGAGAGAGACTACCGGATTGCTTCTCCTGGCAATTCCTATTTTACTTTGAAACTGGAAGGCAGGTTGCAACAATGGCCTTACACAGACTGAATCACAGCATAATGTATAAATCAAGAATTAAAACTAGACCAAAAATCTGAACGCAATGTTTCAAGTACACAAAAATTACAGAGTTAACAATGCAAATCTTACTTTTTCATTCTATAAAAAGCTGATGCTCTGTTTGTGGGCAATATTGGATTGTATGGATCAGAATGCATCCCTCTAGTATAGCATTTTATAGCTTCATCAAAGTTTCCTTGTTTAAAGTATTTATTACCCTGTGAATAGAAAAAAGCATTTTCAGCAAGCTACTGTACATTGGCTGACACATTGCTAATTAAAAACCCTTAAAAAATCAAAATATTCTAGAAATGCTTCAATAATTTTGTTCATCATTTCTCATTAAATACTGCTTTGTGGGTCTCAGATTCAGTCAAAGAAAAACTGAGAGTTTCTAGCCAGGCAAAAGCCTGGGAAAGAAGGTAAATAATTCTTTATCTCTCTTGTTTTTCACACTGTTTATAGTTAAGTTCTATCACTGTGCGTCAAGCACTTTGCACCAATGCTGTGGGTTGTTTTCACTTCAGAACCAATGGATTTGGTCCTTGCGAAGCTCTGTATAAAAGAGAAGTGTATTTTGAATAAATCGGAGTTTTACTCTCAGCAGCCTTCTGAGTCAAGTCTATTCATTCCTGTCCTGCCTCGACAGTGACACTGCTTTACTATGAAATACTCTATTTTATTCTAAGTGAACCATATTAATTAATTTTCATGATATATTCTGTAACATAGGGCTATTAAATATTCATTTACAGTATCTCTAGGTAATTGCCACAAACATGTAACAAGGACATACATAGCTACTTACATTACTGAATGGGGCTTTTTCAAGTTTTTAGTAACTAGGTTAGGCATCTTAGCTTTCCAAGTCAACATTCTCATTTCTGCCTCCTCTGGGACACAACTTTTACCTCATGCACCCTCAATGACCTCACTGCAGCCAAGATAACAATAGCCAAAGATACCTCAGTTTCTCAGTGTAGACTGCAGATTACACGTGAAGGAATTCCCACAGCAGCAGGAATACAACACAAATATCACCCACAAAGACAATTTAAAACAAACAGACAACTCACCCCACAAAAACACAAACCAAAGCTAGAATTACTGAAGTCAATATTGCCTGGCAGATGGATTAGGTGATTGTTTACAATAAGAGAAGTTTATTAAAAACACAGAAGCTGCTACACAACTTAGCCTCTTTCTCATGGCAACAAAACCTGAGATAGCCTTTCTATATCCTACCTTATTAGGTAAAACTGAAGTAGTATAAACTTACCATTATTAAAGCAATGAAGTTCACCCATCATTCCCAGATGTACTGGCCTCACAAAAGGAGTATTTTAAAATTTTTACAGATTTAGTTTGGGGCATTTAGATAAAAACAGTTTGCTTTGTATAGCAATTCTATACAGCCATTCAACTTCTCAAAGCAAATCATCACCAATACATTACATGCACACATTAATTAGAATCTGCCACGCTTGCTGCTACTGACAATGAGAAGGATTAGAACTGCAGTGAGAATTTTCTGTTTTGGACTAATGAGCAGGGAAACAGACAGGAAGACTTCCAAATAAGCAATTCTTTTACCAGATGCGTAATCTCAGTAGATGATCTTTTAAAAGAAAACTGCAAATACTCCTATACTTAATTTTCTTCTTTATCAATAATAAGCATCTATAATTCTATAACCTTTTCCTTCTCTGCAAGAGCCTTTTCAGCATCTACATGAATTCCATCTTCTTCAGAGTCTGATTCTGGAGATAGAGAATCATGAGTATTATCTTCTTTATCAATTTCTTCAAGTATTTTATCCTGGAATAAAAATAACCCAAACTGTTGTCTTCATTATAATTTAACACTGCAAAATAATACAAGTAAGATTTTATTAATGTGTCCTCCAATACTGACAGTTGTGCTTAGTCTTACATTCTACTATAATTATGACCTTTTAATAGGCCTATTATTAAAACAAGTTTTTTTCCCCTTAAACTCAAATTCAATCTGCCAGATGAAAGCACAGTCAATAGAAAACCAAGTATTTATCAATATTCCAAATAAACACGTAACCTTTTTGGGAGAAAGCTACCTAATGTTCATACAATACCCATCACAGTAAGATACTGACTAGTAGACTGAATTTTCAGCACTATAACAAAATTTTATTTAACACAGAATCAACTGGGGACAAAACTTTGGCAACAAAGCAAATCTTGAGACTCACCACATCAAGTTTTCCCCATGCTTCATAATCGTAAGACTTGATCTTGTTTTTCTTGTTTTCCTCTGAGGTTATCTTTGAAGGGACTTTATTTTTGCTTTTCTTCTTTTTCTTAAAACCCTTGTTTCGAATTGGTGGCAAATTCTAAATAGAATTAAGTAACTTTTTATAAAACAGATGTGTGAAAATAACTTGCACTGAAGAATCTACAGCACCTGTATCTAAACAGAATATCTATATACTGGCTAGTTTTATTTTAGAAATACATCCAGCAAGCTGTTCCCATGAGCTCTACAAAACCATTAAGAGCTACAAGCATAAATCTTTCAACACTTAATAGTAAAAATTACATGCATGACTCAGTTTTAGAAGACAACTCTCTTCAGAGTATCAGTGAAGAATTACTTTAATATACTAAATGCCAGGAATAAATTACTAATACTGATGCTGCAAACAGAAGTATTCTCACACATCTACCCAGAACCGATAAAAAATTTACTGGGCTCATCACCTTCAGAGGCCACTGACCCACAGCTCTGTTAGTGATGCAGTTCACAGAGAAGTCTCTTGCCTACTTCAGGTGAAGAACACATCATTAGTTTATGCCTTCTATTCAGATATTTAAGTAAAAAAATGTAATTTTGCTAACGTAAAAAATAATTATTATAAACACTATCACAGTATGAATAGCTGAGTTGACACAGGTCTTGTGTTTTCTTACCTCTTCTGGGACCCCACTCTGTTTCCTGAGTTCAGAATCCACTTCTTTAATATCTTTTTCCCAGCTCTCCAATTCTCTCACAAAATCCTGCAGCTCTTCAGCATTTTGCTTCACTTGCAGCTGCAGTTCTATTGCTTTACTTGGTGCACTCATTGTAATCTGCCAAAATTCAAGGAAAAAAGCCTTCTAAAAAGAAGTTGGAAGTATGTAGTGAAGGAAGCTGGCTACTTCTAAATTAACAAGTCTGACTTACATGCCAGTCAGACTTCCCAATAGTACAGTAGGAACATTAAACACTAGGAGACTAAGAAACAACACAGTTTAAATGTCTTTGAAAAAATAAAGGAAGCCATATCATTCAGATAAAACAAGGTATATAATAACAAACAGCAATTCACATTTTCCTAACTAAATATAAGGTAAAGCACCCAACAAGTCAGTGGTAATCCTGAAATTGCAAGCCAGTCCCTAAAACACTGTTTAATAATTAATTCTTGACTGTCTTCATAAATTTTGTTGTCTCAATTCTGTTGTCTTAAGTGAAAGAAGTTCTATTATCACAAAAATATCAAGTCACAATTAAAAAGTAACCTTAAAAATATTTTGGTTACAATTCAGAAAAAAAAGAAACCCCACATGTGTACAGTTCATAGCACAAAAATCTGAAAGGATGAAGCAAACATGTTTTGAAAAGAATCCTAATTAAATAACTCATGATAAGCTAAATACAAAGAGTTATAAATGGTTGCTAACTATAACCTCTTGATGGCAAGCTTCAGGATCTGTTACAAGCCTCATGGAAAAATAAATAAATAATTTGTAGAGATACTACACATAAAGCTTTTAAGAAAGAAAAAGGTCTAGGTTATCTGACATGCTTTATTTAATGTTATTTTTCACACCTGTGCAATAACCTAGTAGTAAAACAATCTAAAAAATTATAAGGCAAAGAAAGCTAATGATTTCTGTGGTACAATGTGCCATCCATAATTACAGAGAAGGGTCTCAAAGAGATGGAGGAACACACTGCACGATTACTACTGAACTAACGCATGCTCAGGAATAAGCAGCTGCATAGGTGTCCTGCTGCAGGAGTTTGTTTCTCCCTAGTTCATGCACAGGTGGTGACATAATTATCCTGAGCAATGTGTAAGGTCTATTTGAAACAAAAGAAACTTTCAGTGAAGCCAAAAATACATAGCTTTTATCACGTTTCCAGTTAAGGAGCTTATTATATTTTTTTCCACCTTCAACTATTGTCTCATTCCGGACCACCACTGAAATATTCAGTCTGTTAATTTCGTGCAGCTTGGGCATGGACATACCAAATACTTCATACAGCCTAGCATTTCTAGGTAGTTAGAACATGATACTTGAAAATATGCAAAAAAACCCCTTGTAACCTGCTGAACTTTTCTTTTTCCTATTTCTAAGTAAAACAGTATTTTCACGCGGGCGAAAATCTAACGTGAAATCTGGCTGTTTGCTCTCTGCAACTCTAAAACATCCTGCTGATGCTATAGTCAAATTGCTACGTTACCCACTAGCCGCACACAACTTAGTAATAACCTTAAGCCTCTGCAGCGAAGCTGTTACGCCCTTCAGGGCACTTTTATTCGACCCCCAACATTGAGCCCTTCCAACACCCTAAGGCTGCTGGTTCCAGCGACGCCTTTGGGCGGGCCGGCCGGCAGCACAGGCCCGCCCGGGAGCGGTGCCGGGGCCGCCCCGCGGGAGGCCCCGGGGCAGAGCGGCCCCTGCGCCTCCACACCCGCCTCCGCACCGCCCGCAGGCTGCAGGCGAGGCCTCGACTCCCTCAGGGTGCGCTCCCCACGCCTCGCCTCGCCACCCCGCGCAGCCAAGCCGCCCGTGGACCACAGGGGTGGGGATGGGGATGCGGCTGCGGGACGGCACCGCCGGAGCGCCGCGCCCCGCCCCGCTCCACGCTCGCCGCGCCCCGCGCCCTCACCTGCGCCGCGCCGCGGCTCCTCGCGCGCCGCCGCCCGCGCTGCCCCGCGCGTTCCCAGGCTGCAGCGCGGCCCCAGGCGGCAGGACACCACAGCGCCTGCGCCTGCGCGCGCGGCCCGGCTCCCACGTGCCGGCAGCGCGGGCGGCGATTGGCGCGGCCGCGGCCGGGCCCGCGTGCCCCCCGCAGGCGCGGGACGGCGCGGGCGGACATGGGGGAAGGGGAGGCCGGTTCGCCGCCGGCGGCTGAGAGGAAAGGGGCGGAGGAGGAGGAGGAGGATTTCGGCTACCGGCTCTTCCCGGACCGGAATAAGAAGCCGCAGAGCTTCCTGGTCCGCAGCCTCTTCACCTTCCACAATAAGTGCCAGCTGATGCTGAGGCTGACCCTGGAAACGAGTAAGCGCTCCCCCGCCCTCCCGCGGCCCGGCCGCGGCGCAAGGAGGCGCCGAGGCGGAGCCCGGGCCGCCCGCGGCCGTGACCTTGTGACGCGGTCCCGGCTCGGGCCCTGCCCCCTGCCGCAGCGCCCCCGCGGCGCCCGGCTGCGCCCCAGCCCAGGGGCTGCTGATTGAGGAACACGCTGATTTCCGTTAAGACAAAATACAACTTGGAAAGTGGCTGAGAGAGGCGTTTTTCTTCTAAGAAGGTTCTCCTGTACTTCTTTTTTTTTCCTGAGAAATTGAGATGATTTGTCAATTTCTCTTCGTTCGTGCCCGTTGCACTGTTTGATGTGGACTGTGAGTGTTGAGAGCAAGTGATGGTCACTCTAGGCCCCTCTATTTATGTTACTAGTAATAAAATAATGTCAGGAATTACTTGATTCCTGGACAGGTTTTACTCTATATCCTGGGCTACATCAAAAAGGCCATAACTAACAGTTAGGGGAGGTCATTCTTCGCCTCTATTCTGCTCTCCTGGGACTGCAGCCAGGTCTAGTGCCCCCAGCATAAGAAGAAGATGGAGCTGTGGGAATGAGTCCAGATCAGGGCTGTCCAGTTGATAAAGGGGCTGGAGCACCTCCCCTACAAAGACAGGCTGAGAAAGTTGGGGCTGTTCAGCCTGCGGAAGAGAAGGCTGCATGGAAACCTCGCAACAGCCTTCCAGTGTCTAAAGGGGTGTACGTGGAAGCCAGACAGAGACTCCTCATCAGGAATTGCAGTGATAGGACAAGAGTAATGAGTTCAAACGGCAACAGGGCAAATTTAGGCTAGATACACAAAAGAAATTTTTTGCTGTGAGGGTGGTGAGGCACTGGGACAGTTGCCCAGAGAAGCTGTGGTTGCACCATGCCTGGGAGTGTTCCAAGACCCAGTTAGATGGGACTCTGAGGCACCTGGTTGAGTGGAACATGTCCTTGTCTAAGGTAGGGGAACTGGGACTAGTTTATCTCTAAAGTCCCTTCCAACTCAGACTATTCTATGATTCTATATCACATAGCCTGATTTGTAACAGATGCCAATTGCATTGCAATAGGTTAAAATACAGCAAAGTATAAATTTGTGTGTATAGACATTTTCTTATTTGATTTTTTCCTTGACTGTTTTTATATTTTGTTTATAGATGATTTTCAATACTTTTGTCTAGCAAAATTGATTGCAGCAATGTTTTTCTAGATCCATATGCTCGACTTCTCCTTGAGGCTCTGAAGCAATCTGGTTGGTATGTAAACTAATTAGTCTTGTTTTGTATAGTAACTTTTGTCACTGTCACCGTGATAAGTAGCCACTCAAGTTTTTCAAATTATTTTCTGTGACTTTGTTTGTTTTGGCCTTTCAGCACTGTCTTCAATGACCGGCACTTTTCTTGTGAAAACTGTGATGGCTGTGTCAGTGGAGGTTTTGATGCTGCCACATCTCAGGTAGGTGCTGGACCCTTTCAGAGGACTGCAATTTTTTTAGTGTTTTGTTGCTAGGATTAAATCTACCCATAGTGATACATGAGTTACTCATGAAGACAAGATAAATGAAAGATGTTCCATGGCATCGGAACTAGTAGGCTTCAGTATGATAAGGCTGTTAATGTTGAAAATCACCAATCCAAACACCCTAAATGCTGTAGTGGTGTGTCTCTGAGAAGTAAGGGAGGTGTTGAAACTTAGTGAAAAGGTACCTATATCTCTTCTTCTGCAGATTGTTCTGTGTCAGAACAACATTCGCCAACAATCCCACATGAACCGGGTGGTCACACATGAATTGATTCATGCATTTGATCACTGCCGTGCACATGTTGACTGGTTTAAAAATGTCAAACACTTAGCATGTTCAGAGGTAAGCTAAAATGCTTCTAATGTTGTCGTTTTATTAATTATTGCTGGTTATTAGGGCTGCATGGTCTGTTACACACAATTAATTTGTTTTAATCCTGTTAATAGTTTTTGTTCTTTCTGTCAGGTCACCTAAATTTTGTTCAGAAAATAAATACTTAGTTGTCATAAATATTAGTTAATGTCATACTAAGTAGAGTGTAATCACTGTGAGTGTTACAAATGGTTATTGACAAATAAGAGAGTTGTTATAAGTGAAAACACATTTTCACATTAATCAAATGCTTATAGAATTCTTTTTATCCCATGGAAGTCATGGTATGTTGGATAGTTATCACATTAACCTTGGTTTTGTTTAGGTTTTTTTGATTAACAAAAAACTTGTTTTTTCCTGTAGCATTCATTTTTTGAGTCATTGTGATATTGCTGCTAGTAAACTACTTATGAATCCATCACCTTTGGATAAGGTTCTGAGCAACCTGGTCTGTTGGAAGGTGTCCCTGCCCATGGCAGGGAGATAAGAACTTAATGATTTTTAAGGCCCATTACAAGCCAAACCATTCTATGATTCTGTGATTTCAGAGGACATTTGAGTATTAAAGGCCTTAACACTTGACACTTTAGGAGGTGAAATTAAATGGAGCATAGACTGGGAAGGATTTCTCCTGTGTATGTGACACGGGTGTTGTGTGTATGAATCTACATACTTTTATTGATTTCTGATGTAATCCATATCATGTTGTCACAGAAAAGTCTATCCCAGGCTCAGCTTCACTCTTTCATTTCTGATTCTTCTATCTCCTTCCCTGCCAAGTGGCACAGGGAGCCAGGGAATGTGAGCTGTGGTCAGTCCATAACACTTTGTCTCTGCTGCTCCTTCATCCTTGCACTCTTTCCCTGGTCCAGCTTGAGGCCCTTCCCTTTCATGAGCTGCTTCAACATGAGTCTTTCCCTTGGGCTGCTGTTCTTCAAGACTTACTCCAGCTTGAGTTCTTTCCACAGCATACAGTCTTTCAAGAATGGACTGCTCCAGCATTGGTCCCCTAAAGCCCACAGTTCCTGACAGAAAATGTACTCCTGCATGGGCTCTCTATGGGCTGCTGCTTTTTTCAGGGCATATTTGTCTCTCGCTGTCTTCCTTGGAAGTGTGGATATCTGCTCTACAGTGTTCCTTCACAGACTGCAGGGAAAGAACCTCTGTCTCCATGATCTTCTCCTCTGATGCCTGCAGCACCTCATCCCTGTCCTTCCTCAGTGTCTATGGGGCTGTTTCCTTCACGTTTTCATCATTTCTCTGTCTCACAGCTACCCTGTGTGGGTCTATTTTAAAACCAGTTAAAACAGTCTCTGACATAGTCTCAGACACTTCTCCAGTCTCACAGAAGCCACCCTGGGAGGCCCCTCATTTTGCCATGTAAACTCAATACAATAATTCTTAACTATCATATACTTTTTTTTTTGTTCAAGCATTTCCACAGTGCAGAATAAAGCCTGTAAACCTCAAACTTAAGTTTTATATAAATCAAGATTGTGCATGTTCTTGCTCTTGTCAGGATTATTTGTTCACTTCAGGTCTTTTGATTACTTAATTATATGGTATTTACATTTTTTGTTGATGGCTTTTTTAATTCTTAATTTTTCATGCATTTATTTTCACACTGGTACTTAATTATAGGAAATCATTATTTATTTAAATTTCCTAACAGACTCTGTAGGGTATAGAAGATTTAGCAGACAGAAGAAATTCTAGTGTACCGGACAAGACAGGCTAAACCATACAGGCTCATTTACATGCAGCTTTTTGCAAAACAGATGGGTTACTGCTCTTCAGGTATTGCATCTGTAATCTTTGAAAGGTATCTGACTTTCTTCCTGACTGCTGTAACAAATTCTGATATAGATTGGGGAGAATATTACTTTCCATGTTCTTCTACAGGTTCATCTATATACGTACACACATACATTTAATCTCTACTGCTCATTTATTTAAACTTTAGGGGTGTGTGAGAGGTAGTTCTGGAGAAACTTGAAGGTTGTTGTAGTTCACTGAGGCTGAGATGGATGTAAAGGGTTTGGTAGTAACAGGTACTTGAGAAGTTGAAGTGGCCTTGGGAATATCCTCTATCAGCAGTTACCAGAAATATAATGAAGAAAAGCATTTGTTAAAATTTATTTGACTTTGTATTTTCACGTGTTTCTCTGATCTTGTGATTTTTTTTAAATTTTCTGGATAGATTCGAGCTGCTAATCTCAGTGGAGACTGTACTTTGATGAATGAAATAGCCAGGTTTAAATTTGGATTGAAAGGGCACCATCAGGTAAAAACTTTGGCTATTAAAATCTAATAATTTGTTATGTTACCTTGCAGTTAGCTTGTAGGTGGTGTTTACATATTTTTTGGTCTTTCAGTAAACAAACTGTAAGAAAAGGTTGCCATAAAGAGAAGTATCAAAATGAAGGCCAGTAGAGAAGTCATTCATTTGTTTTACAGCATTTCAGTTTGTAAAGAACTTATTTTTATCTATTTCTTTCTGACTTTTTTTTTGTGTCCAGGTCAAATTTTACAAATATGTAGTGCCTACAAAAATGCCAAATTGTATTTCAATTCCTGTTCTAAGAATGTCTTTTAATTATTTCATAGTTTATGTGTACATGGAAAACTAAAGTGCATAGTTTACACAGGATGGAATTAAAATGTTCTTTAATGCTTACTACAGGTACTGATTGACTATTCTTTCATACAAAATTGTCGCCTATATAATAGGAGTTAATACTTGACAAAATCTGAAAACAAATTATGCTAATAATTACAGATTTATTTTTTTTTCCCCACTTTAGACTTGTGTACGAGACAGAGCAATTCGTTCCATTCTGGCTGTTAGAAAAGTTAGCAAAGAAACAGCAGAGAAAGCTGTGGATGAAGTTTTTGATGCCTGCTTCAATGATCTTGAGCCTTTTGGAAGAATCCCACACAGCAAGGCAGATGCAAAACGTGCTTACAGAGACTTTCAGAACAGAGATCGCTATACTGCTAATTTGTAAGGGAGGGGGAAGAAAAATTGTATTAATACCTGATTGTTCAGTAACATGTGGAGTTATAGTCTATGCCCACAGTGCTTGTGGAAACAGCAAATCTGTTAAATATATAAATTTTTCATGAGCCAACTTCTGTGGAAGTAAATGGGGTAAATGAACACAACTAAAGACAGTGTTTCCTCACCTTTTATTCCAGAAAGATAATTTAGAATGCCAAATGACTCTTCAAATACAATTCAATGTGCTTTTAATTTTTTTCACTCTGTCTGACTAGGACTTGGTTTCTGAAAATTTTGTTGTCACTGAATAAAAATTTCCATAAAATCATTTTCCCTGTCTTTGATATACAGTAATGAACTTGATAATCTTCATCACTTGATTTTAACAGATGGGCATCTGAACTACAGCTCTAGACTTAATAACTATGGCTAAAACCAAAATTTAGTAACTACCACATTTGCTTTTGAGTACCTCCTGGTCTAACATTTCCAGCGGTGGGAAAGCTTTTGTGACTTGAGTCCTTTGTGCCCTGAACATGCTACTCATGTCCTCATTGTCTTTGGTATTGGAGAGCTGGGTAGGATGATCAGTGTTGCCTTTTCCTATTCTGTGTTCCAAAATGTTTTGTGACAACACAACTGTCAAGGTATGAAGCTTTTTCTGACAGTATGTAATTTGACTGTAATGGAGCAGCAGACTCTGTGAGACTTGAGCTGCAGTGAGGCACTGAGCTGCTCAGGAAGGGAAATGTCAACACATGCACCAATTTCAAGAGCCTGACATGCTACAGCTAAAAGGGGGAGGTAATCCCAAGTACCTTCAGAATTTGGCAGCCTTTGACAGGGCCCTTGTTTGACTGTAGACTTGGGCTCCCACAATCCACCTATTTATTTCACATGCCTGCAATGTTTTGGATATGACCATCATTCTGTAATTTCCTCCTGGGAAGTATTCAGTCATATGATAAATCTCCAGCCCTGCTTCTAAATGTCTTTCAGGAACAAGATGCCTGAAGATGACAACAGCGTGTTGCTTTTTCCTGATCAGCGGCAAACACTCGGAGAAGATTAAAACCTAAGCACAGTCCTCACAAAGGACAAAGCAGAACACACACAAAATGCCTGAGAGAGCTGACCAAGCATGAATTGCCTGAGTTCTGTTTGTGTTGGACTATGTGTGGGTTGCATTTAGTTCCAGTTGTAGCATAATTCATACCTACAGGAAGATCCCCTGTAGCATTGAAAGTTATCCCCGTTGTACTGGAGGAAGTTAGGTCTTGACTAAGATTCTTCAAACATGTGCTTTCAGTAGTTTTACAGAATTTGAAATGGAGATTTCATAATCATATTTTCCTGGGGTAATTCATCAGTGACTGACATAATCTCATGGCTGAACATCTGAACAGGGAAAAAATAGATATAATAACCTAGATACCTATGGAGAAAATTACACATTGAATTCTAGACTTCCCATTTTCCCTGTAGTCTCTATAGACCTGCAGTTTCCAAAATCCTCTGAGAATCAGAGATGCCTTGAAATCTGCATAATAATATCTGTTGATATTCCCTTAACCTTTTACTGTTCTTCAAGTCACCGTTTTAGTCAGTATGGTGTATGATACTGGGTTTTTTATAGTTCTGACATATTCTGGCCAATAATGCCTTCCCTTCATTATGCCTTATTAACCAAAGTTCTGCTTTAAAGTGTCTGTGTTTGCATTTATATTGCATTTTGACCAATACATAGTTTGAGTATATACATTTGTCTTCTATCTGGGATAAACTTTATGAAGTCTACTTAGAAAGGAAAAATATAGCAATAAAATCTAGAAAATGCAAGCATACAAACTGCTTTTTTATTTTTCTTTAACATTTTTGCAAAATTTTTGATAGGTGAACATGATGAAAATCTTGGAAAGAAAGCAGAGATAATCTGCAAGAAGTATTGCTAATAAAGCAGACATTGGGCTATAGAAAGACACAATTCTTAACATATATATGTATGAAACAGCTGGAGACCGTGTTGAGCAGTGTAATCATAAAATGTTTGATTTTGCAATTCTTAGAGAAGTAAGGAGGGGACTTGGCAGAGCTGCTGCCTTTGACTTCCGGAAGGCAAACTTCATCCTATTTAGGAACTTGGTTGGCAGGGTACCATGGGAGGCAGCCCTGAAGGGCAAAGGAGTCCAAGAAGGTTGGACATACTTCAAGAAGGAAATTGTCAAGGGTCTGGAGCAGGCCTGACTGAGTGAACAGAGAGCTTTGGCTGGAGCTCAGGGGAAATAGAAGAGTTGGAAGAAAGGCCAGGCCTGTCAGGAGGACTACAAGAATGTCATTAAGTTTTGCAGTGAGCAAATTAGAAGGGCCAAAGCCCAGCTAGAACGTAATCTGGCTATTGTGTAAAATAGCCAATAAAATGTTTCAATCAATACCTTTGTGACAAAAGGAGTACTAAGGAGACTCTTGATGCTTTCTTGGATGGGAGGGGAAACACAGTAACAATGAGGAAAAAGCTGAGGTACTCAATGCCTTTTTTGCCTCAGTCTTTAGTAATAAGACTAGTTGTTCTCTGAGATCCCAGCCCCCTGAGGTGGGAGACAGGAGGAGAGAATGAAGCCCTCATAATCCAAGGGGAAATAGTGACTTGCTATGCCATTTAAATGGACACAAGTCCCTGGGACTGGTTGGGATCCAACCATGGATACTTAGGGAACAGGCAGAAGTGCTCACTTAACTATCTTCCATAATATTTCAGCAGTCATGGCCTAATGGGAAGGTCACAGTTGACTGGAGGTTAGCAAATGTGATGCCCAGTTACCAGTAGGGTTGAAAGGATCCAGGGAACTAGAAGTCTGTCGGCCTTGCCTTTGGGGTGGATAAAATCATGGAGCCATAATGTGGTACATGCAGGACAACAAGGGTATCAGGCCCAGCCAGCATGGTTTATGAAAGGCAGGTCCCTCTTGATCAACCTGATCTCCTTCTGTGACAAGGTGACCTAGTGGATGCGGTCTATCTGGTCTTTGGTAAAGCCTTGGACACTGTCTCACAGCATTCTCCTGGAGAAACTGGCTGCTTTTGGCTTGGATAGGTGCACTGTTCAGTGGGTTAAAAACTGGCTGGGTGTCTGGACTCAGAGAGTGGTGTGGATGGTGCTACATCCAGTTGACTGTGGGTCATTCGTGATGCTCTCCAAGGTTCAGTATTGGGGCCAGTCCTGTGTAATATCTTTATTGATGAGCTGGATGAGGGAATCAAGTGTACCCTCAGCAAGTTTGCAGATGACACCAATCTGGGTGGGAGTGTTGATTTACTGGAGAGTAGAAAGGCTCAGCAAAGGGATCTGGTCAGGCAGGATTGATGGGTCGAGGTCAACGGTATGAGGTTCATCAAGGCGAAGAGCCAGGTCCTGCTCTTGGGTCACAACAGACCTGTGCAGCACTACAGCTGTGGGGAGAGTGTCTGGAAAGGTGCACCTGGGGGTGTTGGCTGACAGCTGTCTGAACATGAGTCAGTGCGTGCCCAGGTGGCCAAGAAGGTCAACGGTGTGCATCAGAAATAGTGAGGCCAGCAGGACCGGGGCAATAATCATCCCCTTATGCTCAGCACTGGTGAGGCCACACCTTGAATCCTGTGCTCAGTTTTGAGCCCCTCACTTCAAGTGCTGGAGCATATTCAGAAAAGAGAAATAGAGCTGCTGAAGCATCTAGAGAACAAGTAGTATAAAAAGCAGTTGAAGAAATTTGGGATCTTTATCATGAAAAATGGGGGCCTGGAGGAAACTTTATCTCTCTCTATGACTACCTGAAAGCAGGTTGCAGCCAGGTGGGTCTTGGTCTCTTTTTCCCAAACAACAAGTGACAGGACAAGAGGAAGCAACCTCAAGTTGTGCCAGGAGAGGTTTGGATTGGATATTAGGAGATACTTCATGGAAAGGGTTGTCAAATATTGAAAGAGTGGTTGAGTCACCATCCCTGAAAGTATTTAGAAGACACAGAGGTGTAGGTTTAGTGGCATGGTTAGGTTAAAAGTCGGACTCATTGATCTTTCCAGCCTAAATGATTCTTTGATTCTATGTAATAATTTCTATGAAATAAAATTCCATATCCAGAAAAAGTCAGTTTAAGCAACAGATACTTTTCAGTTATACCAAGTCAAATTATGTCAGAATATGTGCACAGCAAGTCACCTGAAAGCAGTCAGGGCAGTCTAATGGGCTTCTTCTCATTCCCTGAGAAAAGGAGAGGCAATAATTACATGGAACTTTGCACACACTGGTTATCAATTTGAGCAATCATTTCATTGCTTCAGGTGCAATTTTAAACTGCATCTTTTTTTTCATCAAAACAGAGGTTAAAAAAACCAAGTAAAAACTCCATACAAATATGAAACATTGGTGAATCGATTAAGCAGCAGAGGGAGCTGAAGTACTGTGGAATAGCATGCTGCTGTGGAAAATCAGCTGCAGACTATATACAGCTGCTCTTCAGTGAGCAGTTCACTCTTAGTTGAAATTTCTGTTTTAATCAAACTTGCATAACTTTAATATTAAAAGAGGTTCAAAATTAAACTATATTTCAATTCCTTTTTTTTCTCTTTCTGAAGAATATTTGCTTCCTTTAGAAGAATACTTCAAAACGTGTATGGAAATACTTTTGCCATCTATGCTGTTTTGGAGTGCGATTGTGTTCACAGGGACACTTAGATAAATGCTTGGATACATGTGGCAGACCAAAACGTTAAGCTGTAAAGACCCATCACTGGTAATCAAAATTATGCAAATTATATTAGCTTAATTCCTTATTCCTTATGCCTGAATTTTCAGAATATTATAATTTTTTCTCTTAAATCTGAAAGATTTTCAAGTTTTGACCAAAAGAAAAGAGCATCATTGTCCAAATAGTAAAGATACATAATTTTACATAGAAGAGTAGTTTAATAAAGGGTCTTCAGTTATTTTATTTCTGCTAGAAAGGAAGTGCTAGCTGCAATATACCTCACTGAATAGCTGCTTGGTAGAATTCTTTTAAAGTTTGTAGCACCTAGCTCTCAGTTGCATGGATGTATGTGAGTTACCACAGGAGCCTTCATATATTGATTGTAGTTTTTAAAATATGTTTTAGAGACTATAGCAATTATAAGTGAAAACAACAAAAATCATCAATAAATGGTAAAATCCAACTCTGGAATACGGAAAAGTTCAGAAATTCTCAGGGCATGGTCAGGGAGTCTTATTGTATGCTAGATTAGAAGAATTCAGCACCAAGAGGGTGGAAATCCACCTAAATTACCTAAGAAACATTTATCCTTTAGCCTGCCTGTATGCCTGATTAAAAAGAAAACTAGAAAACAAAGATTTACTTGTGGTTTTTTGTTTGGTTTTTATTTGGTTAGTTTGGGTGGGGTTTTTTTGTTTGTTTGATTTTGGTTTTTTGGGGTTTTTGGTTGTTTTTTGAGAGGTTTTTTGATATTGTTGTAGTTGTAGCTCTTTAATGGGTCATGGGAAAATAATTCAGAGCTTAGGAGAGAATTATAACATTACTTTCACTTTTCTCAAGAGAAAAATGAGAGGAGGAAAAAGGAGAAGATGAAAGTAGGGAAAAGAAGAAGGGCACACACAAAGCACTCTGTGCTGCTGAGTAAGGAACAAATATATGAAGAGAGATCTTGGTTTGAGCCCCAGTTCCAAGCAAAAGGTTCTGAAGTACTTGCTGGTTTTACACGTGTGCTCTCCGCTCACAGGTCTGCTGGGGAAATGGCTGCAAACAAGGCAGGCTGGTAGCAGCTGGGCAGCACGCTGGCTGCAGGGCCAGCAGGAAGCCTCTGGTGTCCAGGCACTTTGGTTAATTCCCCTCGCTCCTTCCAAGTACAAAGTAAAGCCCTTAGGGGCCACCTGCCCCATTCCCAGAGTGTTTCACTGTTGAATGATTTTCTTTCATCTCCACTTTTTACCCTGCTGTTTTCTCTTTGAAAGAATTACTTCTCCATGAAACATTACACCTGTTCCTCTTTCCTACTCAAATTCTTCCTATGCATGTATATAATGAAAGAGTGCTTAAAGATTGCTTAAAAAATTACCAGCAAAGGCATCAGTAAGAGCAGGTTTAATATAAAAGTGACAGCATGACAAAATTTGTTGACAAGGTTTAATCTACTACTTATTAGATGGTTAAGGCACACCGAGGAAAAACAACAACAACAACAAAAAATCCGGAGCCAATCAATCCAAACCCTAACAGCTCAATAGCACTTAACAGCATTTAAATTTGATAATACTTAAACTTAACAACATTTCACCTAATTTACTTCATAATTTAAACAATTTGGCAAAGAATTCATATAGGATTTACTATATCACAACAGTAATTTACTTACAGGCCTAACTTCCTTACAAACCTAAAGTACTCAAGAATCAAGGAGAGTAGCATTTCTCCCACATTTGATATGCATGCTTGCATGCACACAGGCATAAAGAGTCTGTACAAGGTAACTATGAAAAATTACCCTTGAAGGTAGTGGAATACTCACTTCAGATACCTTTTCATCCTGTCAATGGGTGAACGGCTGAGCCTTGGGGAGTAAGGGTGTCAGGTCTATTGTCATTTGGCAATCCTTCAAGTACAGCAAACCTCAGAGTTTGCTGGCTCTGAGAGGTGTTCTGCTCAGAGGGAGGTTGCTGCTCATAGCCTGCTGTGGTCCAGGGCAGATCAAAGGGTCTCATTTTAAACCACTGTTTATAGGACCGTAAGACAGTCAGCTTTAGTCATAGCAATGTTTCATCTTGGCTGCATGTCAGATCGAAAACTTTCTTTGAAAGTATGAGAACAAAAATATAATTTCACT